CTGCACCACCACCACAATCACACCAATCCATAACCTCATGCTGCTTCTTATTGAAGACCACTCAGATCGACATCTGCTATACTACTTGCACCCTAATTCTATAGATAGCCCAGTAGGCCCTACATACCGGGTTACCCTAGGGAGGGTGTAGTACATACCCCCCTAATCTTTCTATGTCCCACACACTTCCAGATTAGGCTACGAATACCTTCCGCAGCAGCCGAAACCACCACTAGCAGTCAGGGCGAACCATTAAACCGCACAATTCCAGTATCCGGTGCCCTTGCAAGGTTCGTTCCAATCCCGATACCCACATCAAGCCGGCCCTTATACCGATCCCTCCCCAACTACCAAACCAGTTAGCCCGGACGGGTCGTTGTACCTAGGCTTTAAGTGCCTTCCGGTTTTACTTCCCTTGGTTCCTAATTCCATAGCATAGGACCTTTTCCTCCGGTGCGACTCCGGCGGCCAGGTTGGTGAACCCTTCTTGTCCCAGGGTTTTCGTCCGGTTCTTCGGTCTCCGGTTTCCAACTTTTCCGCAGTATCGTCGAAGATCTTCACTACCTCCTTACTCGGGTCTTGCCAAACGGGTTTCAATTATTCCGGTTCCTTGGATTTGGATCGCCCAAGAGCTTCCATTTCGAGATGGTAGTACCAAGATTACAGGTAATATACCCAACCGATCGTCGAATAATTGTTACCGGAACACAGGCCTATTTTTCTAAAAACGTCTCCGGTAGGATTCGAACTCTAGACCTGCCGCTTGGGGGTGACAACTTAACCACTACTCTAAGTCGCCACACCCTAATTGATAGATTTCTAAAACACTTCTATATCTAATTTTCTTTGTTATGAAGAAATTATTTTGATCTGTAGGAATAAGTGGGTGTAGTAGCGCATATTTTTTAACTATTCTTAATATTGTTTTTATAAATTCCTTAGGAATATTTTGTCTTGCTGTTTGACAAGAAGCCAATTCGGATCAATGAAGCTAAATTCAATATGTGCTTCTTGAGATTTTTGAGATGTATACTGACTTTTTTGTACCATTTTTTCTTTTAACTTACGATCAATAGCATGCTCTACATGCCAAAGGCAAAGTTGGATTATTGCTACTTAAGACCAAGCCTCTTGAATAGTGTTAATTTCACCGGAGTCTTTGTTTATAAGTAAGAAAACCAGATGAACACCCTCCTTTCGCAAATTAATAAAAAATTCTTTGAGCACACCAATCTGTATATGTATAGCATTTATAGGATCTGAGAGTTTCACTTCTGGTGCTGAATATGTGTCTAAGTACAAGTATGCAAGGGGAACATCGTATCTACCACAATTATTTTTATCACGAAAAGTTCAAATTGTTTTTGATTTGTTTTGAATATCAAATCGATGATAATTTCACTAATATTATTTTGCATATTTCGCAGAAATGGAGTAGTAAACCTAAGTAAACATATAAAATCATTTTCCTGATATTGAATAACCTTATATCTAGTATGTAATAACTCTGTTTGTTCTAAGAAATTTAATGTGGATTTTAACTGATTACCCATATCAGTCACATATAACCTTTTTAAAAATTTATCTACCCAATAATACACTTGTTGATAAGTCTGTAATAATGGGTTAATCAAATTTTCATCACAAAGTCGTTGATAAATTTCTATTTTTCGCAATCTTGAATTTAGATGTTGATACATCCATTCTATAGCATTTTTAGGCAAATTTATTTCTCTATATGTAGGATGTTCATGGGCTATCAGGTGCTTGAAATTTATCTTAGCCTCCTGTTCACACAAATCGATCTTAACTACTATATTACCATTACATGGATAACGTTCAATGGTGGGCACTTCTCTAACTCGCTTTATAGACTGATCGTCTTGGCGTTTATATTGACGATTGATCCTTTGAGTGCATCCTAAATGAGCTGTCGCACATCCCGTAAATTGATTATTTTTTTTATTTATATATAAGTTACGGAGCTCCCAATAATATCCTGATCCTGCTTGAAGGGGTAAGAGTAATGTGTTAATAACTTCATGAAATTCTGCATCCTCATGTTGATCAACCTCTGGAGACATTATTTTTTCATGAACTAATTCTCTTTCAAGTTTTACTATTACAGAGAATTTAACCGGTTCATCCTTTTCTTCACTATCTTCAAATTTAATATTGATAAGTTCTTCAATATCATGGATATTATAAAGAAGGTCATCACTGCTATTTTCGACACTATCTAAATCTACAGAATCATCTTCATTTAAGGGTGGCGATTGAATAGTTTCGTCTAAGGGTGATAGTTGAATATCATCATTTAAGA